GCAATATATTAATAAATATCAAGGTTCATAGAATAGAAGGTTACGACATGGTGCTGTCAAAAATTTGCTTTCCTCCAATGACGTAGTTGCGAAGTGAGTTCTGATTGGCTGAAATATTTTACAAAGAAGGAGAGTACACAAAACGCAGAAAATATAGCTGCCGTATAGCATATTTTAGGAATTCTAATCAAATGGGCATTTTTGATATAAAATCGTGGCTTATTATAACAAAATAAAATGTTATAACTTCACGTGAAACCGGATTAACATAATAATAGCGATAACTGAAATGTAAATCGAATGCAAATTGAAATTTGCTGGTGACTTTATTCTTGAAAGTGATCAGAAAGCATTCGCGCATTTTTAAATAAAAAGCGTTCAAACATTGGCGAAAATTCGCTACCGAAATTGCAATTCATCTTTAGACATACGGTAAAACCTAAATTACCTTTTTCAGTGTAATTTTTACAATCAAAAACAGCGCACTTAAATTTTTAATCATTTAAATAAACTCAAAGACGCAGAAAAAAGCACAAACTTCAACGCAAATTGTCTAAAATAGTATATTTTTATAAGATAATTTTTTAGGAATCTGGCAACTCCTAAAATTGAGCCATCTACGTCATCAAGATGGCGGCCATGGCTAATGTCGTAACCTTGTACTCTATGAACCTTGAATAAATATTTACAAAATAAGTAAAACAGGGGTATAAAACGTACTTGTCTGAGGTAATGGTGTAGAAAACACCATATCCATCTAAGGTCATTGGAGCCACAAATCCCACATTAGTGGAATATCCTAACGTACTTGTAGAAAGAATAAAGTTTCCTGCGCCTCCGCTTTTTATGTACAATGGATCCTCATAGAATTCTGGTATACCCCTTCCATTTTCGTAAGCTATACACCACAATCCAAATAAATGTCTGTCCACTCCATTTCCTTCGCGCGTTTCATTCATCATGTGATTGTGATGATTAACGGCATTTCGAAAGGCAGAACATATTTCTGAATTTGAAGATTTTGAATTGTTTGCAACTTGAATAAACTTATGTACTTCAGTGGTGCAAGAGCGTAAAGTTTCTGTACGACCGTTATAGTATTGACGCATAAGGGCTGTCTCATATGTAGAAGCAATCCTACGAAAATGATAAAATAGCCCTTGAATAAGCGTCAATAATTTAAATAACTACTTACTCGTTGTGCAGTTTTGCATATGCTAACTGCATGACAACTTGAATGAAAGAGTCGGGATGTATGTTCCACTTTTTTATAACCTCTTTTCCGTATCCGTTGAAGCAATCATGTGTAATGATAATGTCATTTCTCTGAAAGAGTTCAAGTGATAAGAACGAAATGTCTTAATGATTACATTTGTAATGATTACTCTTCGGTCACAGTCCACCATTGCTCGTTTAATTTCTACCCTCAGATTTTCATCCAATTCGAACTTTAATTCCTTCAGGGGAACGATCGCGATGACTTCCTGAGAATCCCAGTCTGGCTCGGGAACTTCATACATGCTAAGCTGCACAAAAAGTGCATAGCTCACACTAATGCTGCCATCATACGCCGAATGCTGTGAATGAACAAAAAAAAATACTTATAATTGAGTGACGTAGTTTAAAAAGCATAAAGTTTATTTTAACTTTTTAGTCCGCCAAAATTTTTTGTTCAATTTATGACGCCTTTTGGAGGGAACTTGAACCCAGGGTGTACGGCTATATGTACAGATGGTTCGAAGCTTAACAAAAGCGTGGGTAGCGGGATTTATTCTGATGAACTCGTGCTAAACCTCAGTTTTCGCTTACCGTACCATTGCTGCCTCTTTCAAGCAGAGCTCAACCCCATAATGGATGCGACTCGGTGGCTCATAACCTCCACCCTCCAGAACGGCCTACCGCTATCTGTTCTGACAGCCAGGCTGCTATCAAGTCTCTCGAATCAAACGGAATAACGTCCAAAGTAGCCATAGAATTAAGGAATACTCTCAACCTGCTGG